GAAGGATTCCTACGTCTGGTAGGAAGGGCAGAGACATCAAAAGGGCTGGCCCTACTCCCATGGGTGGCAAATGAAATTTCAAAGGGATATTTCAGCTGTAAAGGTTACCCCTGAGAAGCATGGGTATCAGCCCAGAGCACTAGAGGCACACAAAATCTCGTTCCGCATGCATCCAGGTCATGCAGAGGCAGGCAGAAACTGAAGGGATTCAACAAACAGAAAAACTCATAACACAGACATCAGTATGGTGACTGCCAGAAGGAAAGGGGGTGAGGGAAACAGAAAAGGGTAACGGGGGATAAATGGTCTTGGAGGGAAACCTGACTTGGGGTAGTGAACACACAATATACAGATGATGTATTACAGAATGTACACCTGAAACCTATATACTTTTATTAGTCAAGGTCACCCCAATAAATTCAATGTTTTTTTAAAGAGTGGTAAATTTTATGTTATGCATATTTTCCCACCATTTTTTTTTTAAAAAGGTCCCCATATATTTTAGAAGTCTCATTTAGCAATCCTTCCATCTCCTTAATACTTTTAGTTATTCTCTGAAACTTCTTTAACTATCCTGAATTTTTTCCTTTTTAAGGTATAATGACGAAAATATTGTACCTAGAAGAAACTTTAAAAATCTCATATTCGATATTTTTAAATCTACCCCAAATCCTGCTTACAGAAATGAAATAGTGCCTAATTTAAAGGCTCAACACACACACAATCTTATTCTACATGCATAGTGATTTAAATCCTCATGTGATTCTTTCCTTTATGAATGTCCTTTGGTATTAATGGTCATCTCAATGGCAGAGATGCAGCAACACTGAGGTGAGGTTGCAGACCTCCCTGGTCCTAACCTATAGGCTGCCTAGTTATGTATAGCTTAGGTCCTAATGACCCTGACAGAGACCTGTGGGGAGAAGCAAAGTGGGTGCCAGCTGAGCCAGAAGTCCCTGCCCCTTTCTTGACCTCCTGCACTCATATTGGTCTCTGCATGGATTCCCTGCTTTCAAAGAGCTTTCCAAGTACCTGGTTCAGAGAAAGTCTGAATACTGTATTCCAAAGTCTGTTGATGAAAGGCTTTCTACTCACATAATCTCACTTCCTATGTGTCACATCCCTTGATCATCTCCTCCCACAGTTTGGCTCCACAGTTCAGTTGCACGATTATACACTTTCAGCTAATCTTGAAGAACAGTATCAAAAACCTCAGAGCTTATTTGAGTATGACATTTGATCCTCAGTAATCCCTTCTGAAATGCCTCAATGTGCGAATTGCTATACAGTGAAAAAGACATGATCTTTCCCAAGGGGCTTCCGGAGGTATGACGAAACGTGGCCAGCAATGACTGAATACAAATACGACTTAAATACATGAATAAAACTTTAATGTTATTTGCAAAGTGAAGTGCTGAGCAAGAGTCAAACAGGAGTTATAGGGTTAGGAAAAGTGGGGCCAGAGAAACCTGTTAACTCTTCCATTAGGAGGGAAGAGGGAAGCTTACTGAAGGATAACACTTGCAAGAAATGACTGAATGGCTAGGGAAACTAGGTGAGCTCTGAGGGGCAAAGAAGAAAGGAATCCAGATATAAATGAAGAGAAGGTTCAGGCAGAATGGACTGAACCAATCCTCCTAATATATAAGAACCCTGGGTCCATCGCATTCGAAATGATCAGGAGGCTCGACCATTTGCCAGGCTGCATGAGCAGCAGGCAAGTGGATTGAACTGCTGACTTCCCAGAGAAAGAGAGAGGCGGGGCTAATCAGCAGTGACAGAGGCCTGGATAGAGAAGTAGGGTGATCAGACCCTGCTTCTCTCTCCCTCACCAGCAGCCAAGCCTCTTTCTCTCTCTCCCAGAGGTCAGCAGTTCAGCCGCACACCAGGAGCCTGGAGCAGCTGCTGATCAGCCATGCCTCTATGATCAGGCCCGGAGATGCTGATTGGCATAGAAACCGACCAATCAGAACCAAATCTGGGTGAATTGCAAGGAGCCAATGGCAGCCTAAGAGGCTGGGCTCTTGACTCTGACTGGCATAGAAACTGACCAAGCAGAACCAAATTGGCCAGCAGAGGAGGGCAGTTGGGGGAAACTGGGCTGGCAGGGGAGGGCAGTTGGGAGTGATCGGGCCAGCAGGGGAACAGTTAGGTGTTAATCAGGTCAGCAGAGAAGCAGTTAGGGGGGTGGTCAGGCTGGCAGGTAGAAGAGGTTAGGGGCAATCAGGCAGGCAGGCAGGCAGGCAGGCAGGCAAGCAAGCAAGCAAGCGGTTAGGAGCCAGCAGTTCCGGATTGTAAGAGGGATGTCCGAGGCATTGTGACAGGGATCGGGCCTAAATAGGCAGTCAGACATCCTCCAAGGGGTCCCAGATTGGAGAGGGTGCAGCCTGGGCAAAGGGACACCCCCCCGCCCCCCCGCACGAATTTTGTGCACGGGGCCTCTAGTGAACAAATAAACAGAAGGGAAGAGACAGATGAGACAGCAGGAACTGCCTGGATGAATAACCTTGATATTTCTATACAAATTGGAGTAGGTATTTGAATCTGGAATAAAACTATTATTTATGATAACTGGACCAATGGTCAGAAAATTCATCAATTATTCCTCTGCTTCCACTCCTGGCTTGCAAGTTTCTAGCCACGAGTAGCAATCTAGACTAGGGATTGGATATTAAAGGATTTATGTAACCATGTATCTTATATCAGAATTCATCTCAACAGCTAGCTAGATAGGTTTTATTTCTAAAAAGCTGTTTTAATAACAAATATTCCTAAGAGAAAATTGCTTTACTGTCTTCTCATTATATATCAGACATCAGAGTCTGTAATGAGGCCCCTTGTTTGGAGATGAGCAGCGTTAGATTCTCAGGTGTGCGAACACAAAGCTGCACATGGATGCGAGGGGTAGGGTAGTCAGCAACAGAAGATCCAATAAGGGTCTTGGGATGAGAGGAGGTTTATTCATCCAACTGCACACATATTGAACAGCCTGCATCATCATAAACTTTTATAGGGAAAGCTGTTTTTAATCTCATCAGTAACATAAACCCAGCCTCCAAATCACAAAAGCAAGTTTCTCAAGCGAGTAGAAGCTTTCCACAGAGGCAGGAATGTTTATAGTGCGACACTGGCTGGGGGCAGGAGTGCTCAGCTGCGCAAGGCAGTGTGGTAAGCTCCATGAGAAACGTACTGGCTTTGAGTTATGGGTGTTACCCGGCCATGGGATCTCCCAATTAAAGCCCAAGCCTTTGGGGTTTGTAGTATGCAAGTGCTCCAATGACTGACACAGAGGAGGCCAGGTGCGCGCTCTCGTGGGCTTTGCCTGAGATTATATAGCTACACATGCCTCTCTATGGCACCTAATAGTTTCCTTTTCTACCCCAAATCCCATCCCACTTTCTGGGACCTCAATTCATTCTAGCTTACCAGTCATACATTTTTTACTTCCACCAAATTTTTGAGATTCATTCAACTGTGCTTCTAAAATTTGTGTTTTAGTCTATTATCCTCTAAGTATTTATTCTTTGCTTAATATTAAAACATAATATTGTACATATTCCATGTAAATAACTTCTAATAGTTTTATATAATTCTAGAATGAAGTATATAGGGACAAGCAAGTTAACTGTGGGAGTGTTTAACATTTGATTCAGATTCAAAGATTCAAAATGAACTATGCTGCATTTTGCCTTTAGTACACATGCAGCTATAAGCAACACTATGGTATTTCTCACAACCACATTCTCATTAGACTATTCATGTAGAACTTCATCTTACTTTGTTACACTGTGGCACTGCAGGGCTAAATGTTTTTCGCCATGACTGCCTTCCTGAGAACACCTCAACTTCTAGCTAATACA